ATTGGAAAAAACACCAACGTCACCCCGTAAGGGGACTTCGGCCAAGGAGCTTCTGTGCTTTCGTTGCAGTTTTGTCGACTTCAATGCGGACAAAGCAACCGAACTGATTTGTCGCCTGACCGACTTTTAGGCCACCATACACCTCCACTCCTCTCCCATTTCTCTCATCATTGCAGAAGAAACGCGGGACAGCCACTCTGGACAATATGTTCTCAAAGTTGTCTGGGCGAAACTCGCTTGCCGCTACCGACCTCTCGTATAGCTGTGTAAACGTCTCCCTGGCCAAAGTCAATTGCGTACCAGTCTACAACAATCCCTCCGTTTCACCTCTGTACTTTTATGCTCACGTATTTTGGTGGTATGGTCGCCATGTTGGATCATTTATGGCAAAATTTGCATGTTTTGAGGCAATCTCTTTCCCATAGGTCTTTGCGCTTTACGTAACGCGCATCTAACTGTGCGGAGTTTGGTTTTGAGGTAGTGTAAAACGAGTTTTACGACAAGTCGGCGCTTTGCAACAATATGAGTCGGCAAAGTCCGGACTGAAAACCGATTTGTGGAGACTCGTCGTCGGAGATTTTTTTTTTTTTTTTTGAGAACAGGCGAAAACTAATGCGCGCGCGGATGTCATCCATAAAATTAAATCGGTGTAGCCTAATGTAAATGAAAACAAATGTTTGGCTATAGCGCCCTCTATGTATTTGGGGGAATCATTTTTTTTGGAATTCTTTGAGGTTGGAAGATCCAATCTCGCAAGGTTTGATGTGTTATGAATGTTTAATTTTGTTTTTTTAAATCAATGCAATCATATAAAACATCGGGTAATCACGTGTTAGTGATTTAATTTTGTAGACATTTTGGAGTGGTTTGGGTCAGGTCCTATTTTTTTTCTAATGAATAGTTTTAATTGTTCCTATGAAAATCTTTTATTATGTGGGGAAATAATTCATATTTTTGATGAAATCGATTAGAGAATTTACATTTTGATTTAAAAATGAAATCATGTGCATATTAACATGAAAATTGCAGAATAATATAAATCAAAATGGAAAAAAATTCTTTCCTGCACCCGATCATCCCAGACATAGTAACAACAAAGGTTTAAATTTCGTATTTTGCATATTTTTTCAAAACAAATTTTCAGTTATTAGTTATTATTATTTTTCGCTGCTTCTATTTGTTATTGTAATTTATTTTCATTGTGTGACAATAAAAAAGAATTGGTCTGTTATGTTCCGATTCAAATACACATAAACCATTAATTTTTCATAAATAATTTGTTGCAGTTTCATTTGTTGTTGTGGTAGAGTTTTGAATTATCCCTGGTCTTCGACAAAAATAAAATAAGTTTACCCTGTAATTTGTTTACATCAAGAGGGTTTACTTCCCTTAAGTAATGACCTATGGTCCCTCCATAAAATAATGGTTGCGTCAAAATTATATTAATAAAGATGGCGGACTATAGCGTTGATTTAACTCGTTGTATTGATCTGATTTGGGGTTTAATTTCTTGCTTTAAAATAATCTTTTTGCTAGTAATAGCGCCCTCAGGTAGCAGGTCGCGTGCAGCAAGCTTGATGTAGATACATTCAAATAAGTATAGGAACCATCGATTTAAATTTTAGTGTAAATAACTTATGCATACTAATTTATCGTCTAGAACAAATGTCATTGGTACTGCCCATACATAATATAAGTAATGAGTTCTTAGTCGCCTGACCTAGTCAGTGTCAATTTTTAGACAGGATAGAGGAAGTAAACAAAATTAAAATAACAGCTCTGAGCAAATACTGTGAGATTTATTGCACATACAATCACATTCCCTGGCTGTGATACAATATAGCTTTCGTATAAATGTGACCATTTGGACATACGTTTTAATACACATTATTTATTCACTTACTGAGCAATTACTTAGGCTTTATAAACATAACAATATACTACTATTACATAGTAATACTACAAAGGATTGCATTTTGTAAAATTGTGAAACGTTGGAGTTATTTTATTCTAATTAATACTTAGCCCAGTTAATATAAGCTGATAAGCAGTAAGCATGCTCATTCAATCACATTACCTACTAGATCTTCTCGTTTATTATAGTTCATAACAAGAATGACACGCGATTGGGAAGGTGGCATGGATTGTATGTATGTTTAAGATGCATAACAAAAATTAAGCAATGAGTTGTTTTGTACAACTGCAATATATCTGGATGTTTTTCACTATCTAAGGATATATCACCGTAGGGAAAACTACATCTAATTAGATGGCATGTAAAAGCGGAACTACAGAAACAAATCTTTGCCCTATACTCCAATTCATAGACACAAAGGGGGATTGATCCAGTTTAATCACTTCAGCTGACAACATTTCAAATGCAAATGTTGTTTCTTCCAACAAAATTAGTCTTAAGAACATGACAAAGAACATAGCTGTTTCAAACAACAAACAGGTTACAGCAACATTATATCGAGTTCACAAGGTGAGGTCCCTTGAGCCTCCTATGGAAGAAAATAAGAAGAGAAACTATTGCCGAATAGTGTGAATCGTCTGGTTACGCATCGTCCTTCAAACACTTACATAAAAGCCAATTCACAAATAGAATCCAATATACAAATTCAAAATATCATTTAGTAAATCAACACTATCAATCACAACCTAAAAAAAATCGTGCTGATCATGGCATGCAATCTTTGCAGTGATTATCATGGCGGTCTATTTAGTGGCCATGGTTTTTCGTCAAACGGGAAGTAGAATATACAAATAATAAAATCCACTTTACAGAATTGAAACACAGAATCACTCTAAAGTGTTATAAAATAGACGACATTATGACTCTAGCAGAAAAGATAATTTAATACTTTAAGTTATAATCGTAAATACTTGTGCTATATGTAACGTATAGATGCGTTGTCAAAAATAGCACATCCTAACGCGAAATTGAACACGCTTTATGCCACCCATATATTTACGTTGCCATAGTAACCATGCAAATGTTAAATGCGATACAGTCAATAGTAGTTTTACTAAATTTAATGGGTTGATGTACGTGCCAGGTTAAAGGTTAAACACTTTACACGTATTATTTAGTTAGGCTGGTCAAAAGTAGGGCTAATGATAACACAATCAAAATGTTGTACTTCTTGTGCGACATATCAGCATATATTTTGCAGGGAATTCCCAACTATATTTACATACACAGGATCTTCTTCTTCATCGTTGTCCTATAAAATATAAATAACGCATTTACACACATACACAATAACAATCCGATAGTCTGGTTCGTGATCCGCTGGGAGACACTAACAATCAGATTGGTTTTGTAATTTTGTTCCACCTAACCAAAGGCATATGTGATCAGCCTATCAAATATGAACGTCGGGCATAAAAGACAAGCCTATCC